TGATAGAACCGGTTCGCTTGTGGCCCTACTAGTGGGGATTGTACACTAGTAACTTCTGTAGCCTGCCAGTGGGAGGTTTATAACACTGGCCATGACTAATAAAGGAGACCACTACGTGATTTTATTTTGCATTAATGATTTGTTCTTGAAACGCTCTGTTCATGTTTTAACCAATTATTTGGCATGCTTTAAATCCTGATTCGGGCACCCATATTTACTTACCGAGATATTTTATCTCACGGTTTCCTTGTCCACCATTTCAGGTAGTGAGACCCAACGCGTGGGAAGCCCGGGGGAGTGACGAGCTAGACGGCTAGGCATGTTTGGAGTTAGTTCTGTAGCTAGGCCGTTAGTCACCCATGCTGACTTAGGACTTTTGTGTACAGAACTTATGTAGTTGTAGTAAGGATTGTATAAATAAATTATAACTCTTTATACACTTTGACAGGTAAATGTGTAGAAAGAAAATGAAATTAGATATGACCTGAATTATCTGAATTAGTAGCATGAACTTAGTAGGTTTCGAGCCTTGTGCACTGTGGGACCCGTTCCCGAGTGCACGGCGTCTGTTTCGCTCTCGGTTTGGGGCGTGACATATGGATTGATCCATCGACAAGCAATTGTTTTATTCAAATGTGATTGGTATGAGATTCCTCCTGCTCAAGGGGTTTAAGTGGATCAAAAACATCGATTGGTTGACATTAATCCTAGAAGATACCTTTGATCTTATAAGCCTTTCATTCTTGCTAGTCAGGGAAGGCAAGTTTTTTACACACCATACCCATGTATTAATCATGAAAGAAGGGGATGGATTGCTACACTTAAAATTAAAACTAGGAGTATCATTGAGGCTCTTGAGAATAAAGATGACCAACAAGAATGATTGACACCATATTTCCAAGATGATGAGCCTCCTATTCCTCAATAAATAAATATTGATGATATTGCTTATGAACTTGTGCCATATTTTGATGGCAGGTTTATTGAAATACATGCAAAAGCTGATGTTGGGGAGGGGACTGGGGAAGAGGATGAAGAAGGAGAATGGGAAGATTTTGAGACATCAGAAGAAGAAAACATAGAAACATATGTTGAGGAGAATGATAGTAGTGATGAGTAGGCAATAATATTGAAACTATTGAAACTTATTATTATATTTATGGTTACTACTTGCTTGTCTGTACTTTTATAATTATATTAGTTGTATTATATGTTATTTAATTTAAAATTGTATAACGTTAATATTACTTTCAAGTTAATATTTGCTTATTTATACTTCTATAATTGTATTGGTTAGAATAAAATTTATACGTTTATGTTTTTATCATATTATTAATTTTTTTTGTTAATATTTATATAATTTTTTATTTATATAAGTTATACTACATGCTATTCAACTAAAATATAATTTAATTATTATTTGCTTACTATAGAAATTAAAACTATTTTAATTTTTATTGTGATATTAATAGTAATTTATTTATTGCATTTAAATTACTCGTATTAATGATTTATTTTTCATTTGTTATATTTTTTTTACAATGGATTGTTGTAGTTCTCACTACACGGAGGCTGTTGAATCCACCCAACCGCTGCAACGTCCAAATCCATTTGATCCCCAAAGACGAGTTCAGGAGGAGATTCCTACTGATGTGGTTCTGGAGACTCCAGCTTCAGATCCTAATATACAAGCTGAGTCTTCCAGTGATGAGGATACACCTGTGGCTACCCCCCAGTAGAGACAAGGACGAGGGCAAGCTAAACCCGTGCAGATGCTTATAGATAGGACGAAGATCTCATTAGAGCTAGATGAGTATGGAGGTTTGCCACAACAGGTCAGACGATAGATTGTGGTCCAGTTGTGGGAGAATCTCCCAAATGCTTACACATCGTGGGGACAGGTACATCGTGAGCATCAGGACATGTATTGGAATATATTCAGTATATGCCCTAAACACTTAATTTTTACCTACAAATTAGATATTTTCAATTTCTATATTCAAATTTTAAGTAATTTGAATTTTTTTTGTTATTATCATTAATATTTTTGTTATAAAATTATTTATTTATTTATATTTCTATTATTTTTAGCAAACATATAATGGGATCTTGTGATTGATAAGATTGTAAACGATTTATGGAATGTGACAGCAAGGATCAAGTTCAAGCATGCACTTAGTGAGTTGAAAGCTAAGTGTGCAAAGAGAAGCTTTCAAGTTAAGCCTCCAGATATGAATCTAGAGTTATGGGCGAGACTTGTTTATTTATGGACTAAGGTAATGGAGTAAATTTAGGTGTTTATTATTATTTATTTTTTAATTTTCAATTGCAATGTTTAATGTTTTTATCATATTATTAATTAAGAAAATATATATGTTCACCACTTTTACAAGATGAGGGCCATTTGAGAAGGTCAAGTTTTGCAAAAGCTAATTGAGCAAAAGGACCAAGGGTGACGCATACCAGCGGCTCAACGGACGTTAATGTTTATAGAAAGAAAATGGTATAAAAGTTAACATATTTTTAATGAATAATTAATGAATTATGATTTATAATTTATTTTATATTGATTTTAATATTTTCTCTTCTTTTTTTTTTCTTTACAGCAACAAGCAAACCCCGAAGGTTGTCCACCGACATTTCCTAAGGTCTATACCAATAGAAGGCAGCACAAAGGAAAAGGAAAAGACCAACTACCTATATATTGTAATGATGAGGCTCAAGAAACTGGAGTAAGTATTTAACTTAACAATTTTACTTTAAATTGTGTCATGAATTAATTGAAATTATTTTGGTTATAATATTGAAATTATTGTACAATATAATTATTGGTAAAAAGTTAAAACTCCATCCTTTTAGGGGAGAGTAAATTGAATTTAGGTGCCTAAAGTGATATTTTAAATTACACTTTAATTTTCAATACAATTAATTATTTATTTTTTCTTATATTATTTCAGGAAAAATTGACAGCTAAATATGCTGCTAGGCAAAAGGAAGAAGGATTTGACCCTATAATAGCTCATGGTGAGTTATTACTTAGAGCAACTGGTGGGATCAAGAAAGGATGGTTGAAAAGTTTGGATATTCACACACATCCACAGGATATAGGTGTGAGCATATCTAGACGAGAACCATTCAGGCCACCCATTATAGGACATCTAATAGGGTTATCGAATTAGAGCAGACTGTTGCATCATTGAAGGTAGATAATAATAGCCTTCGACAATCACAGATGACCTTTATGGCGGCTAATGAGAGCCTACGGTAGCAACAGTTGACCTTTGTTGCACAGATGCAGCAACTCTACCAGCATTTAGGGATGAGCCCAGTGGATACCAGTGGGATAGTCACCCCTAGGACACCCTGAGATATTTAGGTTTTTTATATTTCAATTAAATATTTGTATTTACTTTATATTTGTAGTAGACATTGGAGATTTATATATTTAGAGTAAATTAACAAAATTTTCTAGCATTTTATATGATAAATATCATAAATTATGTGAAAATAATTTTACATTATCAAATATATTAATTTAAATATCAATTAAATCCTTTATATTTAAGAAATATCGAACTAAATGAAATACTTATACATAGATCGGTTTCAATTAGTATAACAACCGTAATAAACACACAAATGGCTGACTGTTTGGTGGCCCAAACAAGCATATATGGACCGATGTCGGTCCATATATATCAAGGCCAGCAAAGCCAGCTGCAAAATACCCACAGTTGGCTCAGTAAAAAAAACAGAATGTTTGAAGCAGTCCAATACCAACCGGCTTTCATTCCCCAACTGGCTCACTAGATTCAAACAAGTCTATACGGACCAATATCGGTCCATATATAACCTGCAAAAAATCAAGGCCAGTTAAGCCGGTTGCAAAATTTTTACAGCCGACTCAATCCAAAAAAAAGAATGTTCAAGGCAATGCAGCACCAGCCCGCTTTCATTCCCCAGCTAACTCAACCCAAACCAATATATACGGACCGATATTGGTCTGCATATATCACTGTTAATACATATGGACAGGTATCGGTCCGTATATACATGGACAACCCAACACAGCCTCAGTGGTATATATCTTCGTTATTATATATAGACGTATATACGGATCGATATAATTATACGGACAGGTTTTGGTCCCAATACATACCCACCGGCAACTTTTTCATTGTTTTCCTTATTTCATGCTCAATTCGTTATACTCTCGTGTTCAACCATAACATTCCAAATGTTTGCGTGCCAAAGTGATTAACCTTACCCAAAACGCTTGTGGCTTCGAAAGAACATTGCGTAACCTTATATCTAATAACCTTATACTTATACATTCAAGGTTTTACAACGATTCTATCTCGCGCCATCGTTAGATGATTTCAGGCAAGGAATCGATGGTTTCGGGGTTCCAAGAGACTGTAGTGTCGATGTTTATACAATTGGTTTTTGTAAGAACGGATTTGGGGCACAAGAAGATGGTGATGTCCTTAAATGAAAAGAATAAAAAGGTGCATAGGGAGAAATTTCTGGATTTTTTGCAACATATTCGGATAAAAAACGATCTAAAAAATCAAAAGCGTGGAAGCTTCTAGATTCTGTGCCTATATTCTGACCAAAACCAATTCGTATATATCTTTACACCGAATTTAATATATCTTTATAATTAAAAAAAACCATGACAGACATATTTATGGACTGATACCTGTCTGTATATTGTCATACGGACCGGTTTTGGTCCCAATAATTTCAAGCAAGGAATCGATGGTTCCAGGGTTTTAGGAGATTGTAGTGTCGATGTTCACACAATTGGTGTTCCTAAGAATGGATTTGGGGCACGGGAAGATGGTGATGTCCTTAAATGAAAAAAATAAAAAGGTGCATAAGGAGAAGTTTTTTGATTTTTTTGTAATATATTCAGACCAACAACAATCTGAAAAAGTGTGAGAGGCATATAATTTTTCACTATTACAAAAAAGTATGTATATATTCAAGTGAGTTATTACTTAGGGCAACTGGTGGGGTCAAGAAAGGATGGTTGAAAGGTTTGGATATTCACACACATCCATAGGATATAGGTGTGAGCACATCTAAATGGCAACCATTCAGGCCACCCATTATAGGACAGTCTAATAGGGTTATCGAATTAGAGCAGACTGTTGAATCATTGAAGGAAGATAATAATAGCCTTCGACAATCACAGATGACCATTATGGCAGACACTGAGAGCCTACGACAGCAACAGTTGACCCTTGCTGCCCAGATGCAAACTCTACCACCATTTAGGGATAAACCCAGCGGATACCAGTGGGACAGTCACCCTTAGGATAGCTCGAGATATTTAGGCTTTTTATATTTCAATTAAATATTTGTATTTACTTTATATTTGTAGTAGACATTGGAGACTTATATATTTAAAGTAAATTAATAAAATTTTCTAGCATTTTATATGATAAATATTATAAATTATGTGAAAATAATTTTACATTATCAAATATATTAATTTAAATATCAATTAAATCCTTTATATATAAGAAATATCGAACTAAATGAAATACTTATACATAGATCGGTTTCAGTTAGTATAACAACCATAATAAACACACAAATGGATGACTGTCTGGTGGCCCAAACAAGCATGTATGGACCGATGCTGGTCCGTATATATCAAGGCCAGCAAAGCCGGCTGCAAAACACCCATAGTTGGCTCGGTAAAAAAAAAAACAGAATGTTCGAAGCAATTCAGCACCAGTTGGCTTTCATTCACCAGCCGGCTTACCAGATTCAAACAAGTCTATACGGATCGATATCAGTCCGTATATAACCTACAAAAAATCAAGGCTAGTTAAGCCGGCTACAAATTTTTACAACTGGCTTAATCTAAAAAAACAGAATGTTTAAGACAGTGTAGCACCAGCCGGCTTTCATTCCTCAACTGGCTCAACCCAAACTAGTATATATGGATCGATATCAGTCTGTATATATCACTATTAATATATACGAATTGGTATCAGTCTGTATATACATGAAAACCCAACACAACCTCAATGGTATATATCTTTGTTATTATATATAGATTTATATATGGACCGGTTTTGGTCCCAATATATACCCACCTGCAGCTTTTCAATTGTTTTCCTTATCTCATGCTCAATTTGTTATACTCTCCTTTTCAACCATAACATTTCGAAACGTTTGCGTGCCAAAATGGTTAACCTTACCCAAAGAAATCAATTTTACTTGCTTGTGGCTCGAAAGAACGTTACATAACCTTATATTTAATACCCTTAGACTTATACATTCAAGGTTTTACAACGATTCTATCCTGCGCCATTGTTAGATAACTTTAGGCAAGGAATCGATTGTTTCGGGGTTCCAAGAGACTGTAGTGTCAATGTTCACACAATTGATTTTCGTAAGAATGGATTTGGGGCATGGGAAGATGGTGATGTTTTTAAATGAAAAGAATAAAAAGGTGCACAGGGAGAAGTTTCTAGATTTTTTGCAACATATTTGGACCAAAAACGGTCTGAAAAATCAAAAGCGCAGAAGCTTCTAAATTATGTGCCTCTATTCTGACCAAAATAGGTTCGTATATATCTTTATACCGAATTTAATATATCTTTATAATTAAAAAAACCATGATAGACATATTTACGGATCGATACCGGTCTCTATATTGTTATACAGACTGGTTTTGGTCCCAATATATACCCACCTGCAGCTTTTTCATTGTTTTCTTTATCTCATGCTTAATTCGTTATACTCTCATTTTCAACCATAACATTCCAAATTTTTGCGTGCCAAAGTGGTTAAGCTTACCCAAAAAAATCAATTTTACTTGCTTGTGCCTCCGAAAGAACATTACGTAACCTTATATCTAATAACCTTATACTTATACATTCAAGGTTTTACAATGATTCTATCCCACGCCATCAATAGATAATTTTAGGTAAGGAATCGATGGTTCCGGGGTTTCAGGAGACTGTAGTGTCGATGTTCACGCAATTGATTCTTGTAAAAACGGATTTGGGGTATGAGAAAATGGTGATGTTTTTAAATGAAAAGAATAAAAAGGTGCATAGGGAGAAGTTTCTGGATTTTTTTGAATATATTTAGACCAAAAACGGTCTGAAAAATCAAAAGCATGGAAGTTTCTAGATTCTGTGCCTATATTCCGACCAAAACGGTCCGTATATATCTTTACACCGAATTTAATATATCTTTATAATTAAAAAAACCATGACAGACATATTTACGGACCGATACCGGTCCGTAAATTGTTATATGGACTAGTTTTGGTCCCAATATATACCCACCTGCAGCTTTTTCATTGTTTTCCTTATCTCATGCTCAATTCGTTATACTTTCGTTTTCAACCTTAAAGTTCCGAATGTTGGCATGCCAAAGTGGTTAACCTTACCAAAAAAAAAAAATCAATTTTACTCGCTTGTGGCTCCAAAAGAACATTACGTAACCTTGTATCTAATAACCTTATACTTATACATTCAAGGTTTTACAACGATTCTATCCCGCGCCATCATTAGATAATTTCAGGCAAAAAATCGATGGTTTTGGGGTTCTAGGAGACTGTAGTGTCGATGTTCACACAATTGATTTTCATAAGAACGGATTTGGGTCATGGGAAAATGGTGATGTCTTTAAATGAAAAGAATAAAAAAGTGCACAGGGAGAAGTTTATGGATTTTTTGCAACATATTCGGACCAAAAACGGTCTAAAAAATCAAAAGCATGGAAGTTTCTAGATTCTGTGTCTATATTCCGACCAAAACCGGTTTGTATATATCTTTACACCGAATTTAATATATTTTTATAATTAAAAAAAACCATGACAAACATATTTACGGACCGATACCAATCCGTATATTGTTATAGGACTGGTTTGGTCCCAAAATATACCCACCTACAGCTTTTTCATTGTTTTCCTTATCTCATACTCCATTCGTTATACTTTCATTTTCAACCATAAAATTCTGAATGTTTGCATCCCAAAGTGGTTAACCTTACCCAAAAAAATCAATTTTACTTGCTTAAGGCTCTGAAAGAACATTACGTAACCTTATATCTAATAACCTTATACTTATACATTTAAGGTTTTACAACTATTCTATCCTGCGCCATCATTAGATAATTTCAGGCAAGGAATCAATAGTTTCGGGGTTTTAGGAGACTGTAGTGTCGATGTTCACGCATTTGGTTTTCGTAAGAACGGATTTGGGGCACAGGAAGATCGTGATGTCCTTAAATGAAAAGAATAAAAAGGTGCACTGGGACAAGTTTTTGGATTTTTTTTGCAATATATTCAGACCAACAACGGTCTGAAAAAGTGTGAGAGGCATATAATATACGTAATTTAATTCATCTTTATAATTAACAAAGGTTTATCTTATATATACAGACCAATACCGATCCGAATATAACCAATTGCTGTTTCAATGGTTTTGCCTCTAGAAAATTTCATCGAAAATTAAACTTTTCAAGATTGGCGCTTAATTATTTAACGGTCCGTATATTTTACCGCCAAAATTTTGCTAAAAATTAAACTTTTTTGGTAATTTACGAACCGATGTCGGTCTGAAAATGTTTGCGCTGGGCGAAAATGTGGCACTTATTTGGTATATTCAAACCGGTTTCGGTCCGTATAAAACCTATATATAACCAACTCCCTCTCATTCCTTTCCTCATTTTCTCTTCTTCTCTTTCTTTTTCTTTTTCATCTCCTCCATTTCTAGGTATTCCTTCCTCTTCTTTCTCATTTCCTTTCTCTATTCCTTTTACTCTTTCTCCTTTTTTTCTTACTCTTTCCTCTCTTCTTTCTCTACACTTCATAATATTCTTTTGATTTTTCTTACTCCTCT